TGTCAAGTCAGATGGGACCCAACGACCTTCTCCGCACACTTGATCCATCGCACGCTTCAGGCGCGGCGTCAGGACATCGGTCCACGGCGAGCCTGCCTCGTCGTTGTAGGATTCTACGTCGGTGATCAACGAATGCACAGATTTATGGGCGTGCGTGCCTGAGATCCAATGCTTTTCAGGCCACGTCGCGCAATCGTGGCGTTTTACCCCGTCTTTCTCGATGCGATTCCACAGAAACTCGCGGCATGCTGCAGCGGTCTCGACGGAGAAGGCGTTGCGAAGCATCACGAAGCCATGTTCGATGAAATGCGCGACTTCATCCTCAGACAGCCCAATCTCTTCTGTCTCCAAGCCTTTTCCGACGATCTTGTTCGTGCCGGCGATGTCTGTGGCGACTTCCTCGCGGGCATCACGTGCCTCATGCGTCCCATTTCCCATCGTGTCAAGGTGACATGGAATACATCCTTGGTAACTGCCATCAGCCAATCATACGTCTCCATGTTTTGTGCATTTTGTGAGAAAATACTATTCATTTTCATGTATTCGTAGAATATCGGATATCCAGTCATGTCCAGTATTTATCGTGATATCTCCCTCATGTAGCCGAGCCTTACGCGTTCATCAGTCACTATCAACGATATTTACCGTGACCACTTGAAGTCTAGCCTTCCAACGTTTTGGGACCACACTGCATATTCATTAGTGCCTAAAGACGTATCAATGTTACAGCACATCCATGAATATTTATTTAACTGTCCGAACGATTCAGTTCAAATGAGGGCTCTTGATTGGACAATAATTGTATTTTTCCCGCCAATCAAAGGACCTTCTCTAACTCGGATATCTCTCAATATTGTTTCTCCCATCGAGTTCGTCTCACACGACCCAGAGCAACATGGCGATCGACAACGTGACCGTGTTCAAGCTCGTGTCTCTGGTGAGCATATGGGTCGTGGGGTTCGGCGGTGGCGTGCTTCCCTTCTTCATTCGCCAGCAGAACAGGAAGCTCATGAGTCGTCTCAACTGCTTGAGTGGCGGAGTCTTCCTTGCCGGGGGGTTCATGCATTTGCTGCACGCGGCAATGGAGAACCCAGGGTTGGCCAAGTGGTCCACTGTAGACGAAGGAATCTACGCATTTCCGTACGCAGAAATGTTCTGCACCATCGGGTTCCTCGGCGTGTTGATCATCGAGCAGCTAGCCCATACCTTGCAAACGCCGTCCGCGTCGCCCACCAACTCTTCATCGCACCACCATCCCCATGATCCCCACCTGTCAGAAGACGAACGCGATATCGACAGCGCGCCTTTCCTGGAGCAAATTGAGGGCGCGACGTTGCCGCCAAAGAAGCGAAAGAAGTCGCACGACGAACATGACGAACACCTCGCGTTTGACAAGTACGACTTGCTTCGACCGATTTCGTTGTCTTGACGTTCCTAGAAATGCATCTGGCGCGGTCGCATTTGTTCTCTTCGTCGCGCTGTCGTTCCATTCGGTACTTGAAGGACTGGGCATTGGAGCGCAATCGACGTCTGCATGGGGAGTGTTCTTGGCAATCATTCTGCACAAGGGGCTCGCGGCATTCGCCCTTGGCAGCGGCATGCTCAAGAGCCAGGTGAACAAGGCCAAGTTCATCGCGTACATGTTTCTATTCTCCATGATGAGCATCCTCGGCATCATCGTCGGATGGTGCATCGCAGACTCGGAAGAGTCGGAAGACGTACGTCCATCTCATCTCGTCTTTGAGTTCCGCGTGTTCTTTTATGGATTTCTTTAAGACCTGCATTCGCAATCTTGGTTGGTTGTGTCAGCGGTCAGTTTGGTGTTTGCGTTCCTTTTTGTCGTGCATGTGTTCTTTTAGTGCCATGCCCTTGTTCTTTTATGCCTCTTGGGACGCCGGCACTCATCTTGAAATTCGGGTAGTCGGCTGCCGCGGGCATCTGCCTCGCGCTTGCGTCCGGCACGTTCATCTACGTTGCCGTGATGGAGATCATTCCGCTCGAGTTTGGCCACGGCCGCAGCGACCCGCCCAAGACGCTGCTCCTCCTGTTTGGGTACGCCGTGTTTGGGTGCCTCGCAAAATGGTCATAGCGGCATATCTTGTTTAACACATCGAACAACCAACAACGCTTTTGTCCATCGCACTACTCGCTACACGGTCGCCACGGCGCCTCCATCTTCACACGTTCGTCCGATCACTTTCTATGGGTTGTCTAGGTGCAGCGCCTGCACCGAGTGCTCTAGTCCTAACTCGTCGCTGCCGTGATCGACATGATCGAGGTACTCCTCGCCCAACCCACGGTGGTGCACCCGCTTGTGCTGGACCTTCAACCGCTTCGACCCAATCTGGAAGCCATTCATGCTGGCGATCGCCGCGTCCGCCGCTTGTGCCGAGTCGTAGCTGACAAACCCTGCAACACCACACTCATCACGTGTGCCATGCCCGCCGCACGACGTACCGAATCCCTTGCTTTCGCCCGTGTTCTTGTCCATGTACACCTTGGCGCTGATGACTGTGCCGAAAGGAGCAAATGCGGTCGCCAAGTCGGCGTCTGTCAAGTCATGCGGCAAGTGGTAAATGAACAAGTTGGCGCCGACGGGGCCTTCGATCTGCGCCGCCGATCGCGCCGCGTCTAGAGTGCCTCCGACTCAGCCGTCCGGGATCAGAATCCATTATTCAAACCTACCTGACGACGCCGCATCCAGGGGAAACCCCCCGCCTATGGGCACGACAGGGAACGCCGTCGACGGGTACCCGGCACCAGTGGGAGGTGGCATCGCGTACGGGTTGTAGTACATGAACGCGGCCGGATTCGTGGCTGTTAGAGGAGCTTGCGGTGGCGTTGGCAGGCCTGCTGCGCATGCCATGCATGCGTTAGATGTGGTGCGCATGTTGGAGGCTCGCTGGCGACATGTACACACCTGACGCAGGATGCAACGCGGCGGCTTGGGCCCCAAACGCTTGAATTTGTTGCAGGTACTGTTGTTGGAGTTGCTGGAGTTGCGGGAATGGAATGGCGGCACCCGGTGGCATCTGCCAGTACGCGGCGGCTGACGTCGCGGCTTGGTTACGGGCGCGTTGAATTCGTTGGCGGCGACTGTCGGCAAACTTGACGACTAATGGCGCCGTGCCTCGGTCCTACACGGGAGATGCGTAAAGACAAGTGCTATAAAACGAGGATGGCTGGAAAGCAAATACCATCGTAACAGCACCGTTGATCGTGTCGATCGCGGTGGACGCGGCGTGGCGATCCTTGAACTTGAGAAATGCGCAACCTTTGCTTTGACCGGTTCCAGGGTGGCGCAAGATGTAGATTTCTTCGATATCGCCGTGCACTTGAAACACGCTGCGAATGTCCGCTTCATCGGCGTGCTTGGGGATCATTCCGATAAACAGTTTGTGCTCCTGGGACGCTACAAGTTGTACCCACTCATGGACGATGCACATCACGAATCGTACGTGAGTAAATACTTACCACCTGCTTGTCCCTCGGCAGGACGCACTTGCAACGGGTTTGGCGATGATGGCAGGGTCACTTGGTTGTGCAAGGTGTCAATCGCTGCTTCGGCAGCATTGCGGGAGCAGTAAGTGACAAATGCACACCCTCGGTGTGCGCCGCTGATTTTATCACGGATGATCACAATGTCGTAAAGTGGGCCGAACCGTTCCAAAATAGGCCGCAGTTCGTCTTCGTCCATTGTGCGCGGGACTTGCCCAACGAAGAGCTTGACTGCGTCCTGGGGTTGTGCATGTCCGTGGTGTCCCGAGTACTCTTCAACATCTTGCTCGTCATACTCGTACCCACCTTGTACAGTCGTGGCGGCAGCAGGCGAATACTGGGCGGCGTCGGTCATCTCGTCGGCGGTGGCGGCGGCGGACTACCTGGGATTCGCCTCACGAAATGAGGGGAAGGGAATGACTACTGGAGGTACCTGTAACACTGTATAACCTTTTGAAATGCATGTACAATTTCACTACAATCCGCGCAAAGAATGGGTCAAAGCAACAGTAGTATTCGTTTTCAGAGTTTTGTACATCGCACTCGTACTGTTGTACGGGGCCGTACATTGGAGTTTCATCGCGGTTTCACTTCCGACGACTTCATGACCGACACGACGGCGGCGGCGGCAAAGGTACGTGGCGCCAATCTCGACATCACCGACGTGACGAGCGATAGATTCATGGCAGCAAGACACCTGGAACTCCCAGCCCGCGGCAGAACAGTATCACCAAGGTCTCGCCAGCGCTCAGCACGGGGCAGAACAGCCCCATGAGACCATCACCGTTTGCCCGCCACAGCAGCGTCAACCAAGCTGGCGGGAAACTAGTCATCAGCAGTTGTGCATTAGACAAGTCGCCAGCGAAGCCTCGACCGGGCAGTCCATCTCGAACGTCCGTGTACGTCTCTCCACGTAATTGGCACGCACGACTCTGACGCGGCGACAAGACTACACCCCATTGACATCGGACCAATGCCGACAACTCCCCTCTCGAAACGAAAGAGCCGAATTCGACCGCGGAAGACGCAGCCGTCGTTTCCGGAGACGCCTCTGCTCCATCCGATCGCGGTAGGCCGGCCTCTCTCTCCCCGTCAGGCAGTTCGCCAACTCGTCGACAGGTCGTACAGGTCTCTGCTTCGCTTCCAGAGACAACGTCGGCGCCGCCTCCGTCGTTTGGCATGCTCTCGCTCGACGACTGGCTCGCCACGTACGAGCACGACGCTCTTCGGTACGAATCCATCGGGGCCTTCATCGAGGTCAAGCTCCAGGAAGCCCTCCGGCTATGCTCAAAATTTCCGCACCCCATGAATCGGTTCCGCGCCGCAGTGCGTTCCGTCCACCCATTCCTCGATCGATATTCAATGCGTCCCTAGGTCGTATGCAATCTGCTCGAACGTGTGGCGTACGCCCTCGCCACGTCCGACACGTTCAGGCCTTATCACTGGAGTATTTACGCTCTGCGCGACGAGCTGCTTCGCATGATTCTGTCCGACCTGGCCGATGACGACGTCGTTGCGACAGACGCCCATGTTCCTCGCGCCGTGAGCTATTTCATCCAAAAGATGCCGTATTTCATTGAGCTGCGGCTCGAGAACGACAAGGTATGCGACTGCCAGCCCTCGTTGTGCTGTGGCCATTCTCGACGGTGTGCGCCTTCACGGTGGTGACATGCACATCGTCGCAACATCCCCTTCTTCATGCGGAGTGGCGTCTGGCATCACGATGGCAGCTGATCTGGACTCGCACGGTTGGTAGAAAGACCAAGACTTCAACAAGCACCAGGCCGTGCTCCAAAAGCTGATCCAGTCCATGTTTAAGAACATCGGGAGTGTGTTCCAGGCATGGAAAATGTTTGCCAAGACGAAGCGCGAGGACCGACTGAGCAAGAAGGCGGCGAAAATCACGAGCGCGATTTTATCCAAGCGGGGACAAGGCCGCCTCGCGTTTTTGTCGTGGGCTAGGTACTGCTTGCACACGCGGCTGGAGAAGCAGCGCTTCAAAGGTACGACAACGACGGTGGGTGTGCAGTTGTTCGACCACACTAGTCGATGGATGGCCGCGACCGCATCGATGGATATCGATGGCGTTGAACGATCGTCGTCGTTGTGGCCGTAGAAGTCCAAGTCGAAAGGGACCACATGCTTCGCATTGGCGACCTCAAGAAGCAACTGAGCCAGTCGAACGACACGATTGCCCACTTGAAAGCTGAGCTTCACGTGCTGCGGGTACGTTCACTGGCTGTCTCATGCGCCTGCCCATGGCGCATGTTGCAGCGGCGCGAAAGTGCACTCATTGCGGTGGTGGTAGATGGCTCAGAACAAAGAGACGGTCGAGCAAGTGATCTTTGAAGAAATGCCGGACGATGCAGTGAGCGAAGCGGACTTGCAACAGCTACAAGCGTCCAACTCGGCGTTTTTGCGATCGGCCTCGTCCAAGTCGTCCTTGCGACGGTGACCTGGCTGTTGGGTCGAGTTTTGAAATCGACGACCCGCTCGTTTGAGAATCGAAAGGTGCTGGTCGCCACACATGCATGTACCGTGCCGTGGACGCTTCGCCGTGTGCTTTCCAGCCGTCCATCCTTCGGGGCGCCGTGTCCACCGAATCGAACTCGCGCCGCGCACCCCCCCTCCAAACAACCCACCATCCTCGTCATCTCGACCATCTGCACTCGCTTTGCCTTACCCACATGTTAACCATCCATGCCACACAAATCAAATATGCAACTGGACCGTTCTAGTGCTTTCACTCCATGTCTTGAATATCCTCGGCCACAACCGCGTCGAGATCGTCGTCGTTGTTGTCGACTTGCATGCTTGCATCGGCGGTGGTGGCCGCCCATGCATTTTGCGACGCCACCGTCGATGGGGTCAGATCGTGCATGGTGCGCCGAATGACGTCGAGGAACGTCGGCATGGACGACGAAGGCATCGACGTGGGGTGGGATTCAAACGGTTGCAGCTCGGGCAACAAGTCTCCCAGGGGTGATGGAGACGCGTTGGACCGGTCGATGGTGTCGGGCAGCTCTTCTACCAACGGCGGGGACGTCTCGATGGCGCCACCGCGTCGTGCATGTCGGAGTGACGTCGATGGTTGCGACAGTCGCTCCGACAGCTCCCGCCACCGCTGAATTCCATCCATCTCTGGAGGGAGATATATTGCCATGAAGCGATGGACCCAACTCTTGTGGCAAGAAAACATACCAGAGGCAAAGGACGACGACGACGACGAGTTGGGTGCGAGAATGGCGTGGATGTGGACGTCAATGCTGCGGCGAGGCAGCGGCTGTGGCGACGCATGCGACGCGAGCTCGCTCACGGCCTACTTTGGACGTGAAATCATCGACCAACATCGACGCAGGCCATACAATGAGCTCGCGGAACGACGGGATGTCCAAGCCATGCGTCGAACGACTGGCGCTGTCTTGATGGCCTAGATGGGGGTTTGAATGGATGACAACTTGCGGAAGCCATCGCGGCCGACGGTCCACGAGAGAGAGATGCGTCAAGAGGATACCTGCAATGGCCTGGACGGCGGGTGCGGCATCTGCCAGGAGCCTCCCGACGCGGTCAAACAACGGGGCGACCGTCGCGACGAGATTGCGCACTTGTGGCGACGACGAATCGTCCGGCATGTCTGTGCATATCACGACGTTGACCTGTCCATCTCGGGCCTCCATCGATCCATGGCATACCGTCGTCAGAGTCGGTGGCTTCAGTCGCCGACGGAACGTTCGCGTCAAGAGCGCTCGCCAATTCGTTGACGAACGGAAGCATCTCGTGGAGGACGGACTGCAGTTGCGGCAACAACGTGCGAATCGTGGTCTGGGTCGACCCCGCGGCGGGTTGATGAGATGCCTACAAGTCGCGTTGGCAGGTGCCATCGACACAGTCGGGTGGACCGCCAGTTCCAACGTACGAGCATTGGAGCCGGCGACAAGTGGCGCGAAGTCCCTGCGCCATGCAGCGTTCTCGTGCGGAATGCCGCGAGGCGGGGCGACTTGCGATCGATCCACTCGTCCCACCGAGACGGCCACCCGTGGTAATGGACGAACACTTGGTCCTCATTTACTTCGAGGATCGTGCCTTCCAGCCACTGGTTGACCGTGTCCTTGACATCGAGCCATTGTCCAACAAAGAATTGCCGCGATGGTGGCGATGGCTCCCCAGCTGCTACCGGCGTAGCTGGCAGCGATAGCATCGATTGAATCGTCAACAAGCCCTGGCGAATGTGCTCCACAGATGGCGGCTACAAGATGACAATGAGTTGAACCCGCTTGGACGACGGACGCGGCGGTGTACTGGTGCAATCGTGGACGCTTCCGACTCGGGCTCGTTGGATGGTGTCGAGTCCGACGGCCCGTATCGAGACCGCAAAAAGTCAAGACGATCATGGTGCATGCGAGAGGCAGCGGGCAGGGACGTGGCAAAGCCCGAGTCGACGCCAAGCCGTCGGCGCATCGTTGCGAGCGAACTTGCCGTCGATGCGTCGAGACGAGCAAGTCGCGACTGAAGCATCTCGGCGGTGTCGTGAAGCGGTGCCAAACGTGACGACGACAATGGAGTGGGCGAAGTCGGTTGCTGCGCGCGATCAGGTCGTGCCACCATGTGCACGGTGTGGCCATCCTCGACATTGTACGCACTGAGGAGGTCGCCGTCACGGAGGAGCTTTCCTACGAGGATGAACCGATCGAACGCGATGAGGGAACCGTCGTGAAGCATGATCAAGGGGTGTGGACCTCGGTAGATGAGTCGCTGGCGCTGTGGTGGCACCGCCGTCGTGGTCTGCAACGTGGTTTTGAGGTCGCGGATCGACACCGACCGGGCGACCGTGAGCGAGAACGTGTGGTCGTTGAGGGTCTTGATGCGGATTTCCATGTGCAGCGTCGACGATACTGGTAACGGAGCCGTCACCAACGGCGCCGACATCGTGCTGGCCATCGCCATGACCGACCTGCAAAAACCAACTGTGAAACCCACCACGCCAGCAGCGACGATTCTATTTTGGTGCCCCTTCATTTGACAGTCATCCGGATGATGTGCACAAACGTATCCGGCAAGTGCGACCTGGCAACCACGTAACGGAGGACGGCAGTGCGAAGTGTCGAGTCGTTCGACGCCAGTCCCTCGATCGCCGTGGTGGTCTGTTGGCTGTTCAAGGTGCTTCACTTGCACATGCATGTGACGGCGAGCTCGATGTCGTGGGGCTCAGAATCGGCGTGGCGTTGCTTGGTCGAATTGTCGATGACGGGTGGCGATGTCGATGTTGCGACAAACGATCACGGGATATCCGGATGTCCCGGATAACCTTGACGGATTGCCATGAATCCGCCGCCGATGACACCGCGCGAGTTCTTGACGTCCGCACAATGGGCATGCGGCGGCGAGTACACATGTATGCGCGTGACGGGTGATCACATCGACTTGTGGGAGTTCCACTGCTGTCGCCTTGGAGTACCGGTTGACGCGGTGGAACGACTGCGTCAACAAGTTGTAGACGCTGTGCGGAGCCAAGCTGAGGTGGCGGCCTCGTGGATGGTGACCGTCCTCCGCGCCGACGACAAGTTTCTCGTCCACGTGTACAAGATGCCGTCCCTACGACTTGACGGCACAGGCAGCGTAGCGCCAATTGATGTGCTCGTCTACGGTGCGCCACGGTCAAACGCTCACATCAAGCATGTTCAGTGGATCCACGACCGATCGCCGATCGAGCAACACGCGCGCGCCGTCGCGGCTTCAGTTGGTCGTACTGAACCATTCGGGGAGGTTATCTTGCACTGTCACACGACGTATACGTCGGCTGAAGGTGTCTCCATCCCCCGCACCGAGCTGTTAGAAGGCCTCATTACAAACTTCTTCGTGTGGCGGCAAGGCACTCTACACACGGGTGGCAACGACGATGCCATCCTGCACGGGAGCACTCGACATCTTGTCCTCCTGGCGTGCAAGAGTCTGAGTATTCCTGTCCTGTTCACACCACCATGCCTGGAGGACGCAGCACATTGGGACGCCGCCTTCGTGTCGAGTACGGTTCCATTCAGTCGAGTGTGACGTCGTCGAGTGCTCACGATGCAACAGGTGTGGTCAAGGTAGTCGTGCCGGTGCGAGCCATCTACGAATCCAACGGCGAGATGGCGAGGCTGCTACCGTCGCCGCCTCCGATCCTCGACACTCTGCGCGCTGCAGTGCGCCGATTGTCGGACGTTGAAGCGAATCCACCACCACAGTGAGCTCGGCCACCACTGGCTATCGTAATTCCTGTTGGCGCACCACATCTCCGAGGAATTCCTGCATATCCAGCCATTCGTGTCTCATCTGCCGATCGTTGTCAGTAAAGACATGCACCCTTCCACATATGGAGCAGACATTCGTTCCGGTTCCACCAACGCCAGCGCGCATGTCGAGTACACTCCGCCGCTCTGGTTCTTCAGGCAAGATGCCAGCGCATGTACTACCTCTTTCCCCTGGCAGCCACGCACGCCTTCCGCAATCGCCCGAGGCTCCGATCCATCTGTAGGTTCGGCACCCCAGCGCCATGCGTTCGAGACACGGCTGTTTGTTGCATGCAAAGGAATCCCTCAAAGATGCGTACTTTTGCAACAATGGTTCACAAAAACGACGGTGATAAATAAGAATGGTGGGTGGGGGAGATGGGAGGACTATGGATGGGAGACTAAGCACTGCGCGTCGGGCGCAGCGCGGTGGCGTCGATGTTGATTTCGCGCAGCTTGCGTGGGACATCCGTGGGCATGCGCAGCACCTGGAGGAGGCACTTGGCGCCGGGGGTCTTGATCGCGTTGTGGCGGAGGTCCAGGACTTCGAGATGGGCAAACCCACGCGACTTGAACACAGCGGCCAACGCGCCGGCGCTCCGGTCGGCCAATGCGTTCTGGCCCAGCCGGAGCGTCGACAGCGACGCGTTCGAGTGCGAGAACGCCCATGCCAGCGACATCATGCCCGCGTCGCCAATGTTGTTCTCACTCAAGACTAGTTCTTGCATCTTGGGCGCGGCGTTCGCTAGCCATAGGCTCATGGCGGTCGCGCCGTAGTCTTGGAGGCCGTTGGCAGCGCAGTGGAATTCACGGAGGTGGGGACACGCTCCTTGCGAGAGCGCGTGGAAGATAAAACGAAGGGGGTGTTCGTTGTCGGGAGAGAAATGATCGCGGAAGAGGCCCGAGAGGGTGAGCGACTTGAGGTTCTTGCATGCACCCGTCTCCAGGCACTTGGCAAATGCATGACAGATCGCGGCAGGCGAGACAGAGCTAGCCACGGCAGGAGTCGGCGAGGGCGGAGGCGTAATCGTCAACGTTTCCACCATCGTAAACCCCGGAGGAAATGGGCATTGCCCAGATAGCATGTTGCCAAGGGTGTCCAAGGACAAGCTGAGTGTGAGTCGATCTTTCTCGCTGGACACAGGAATGCAGAGCTGCGACATGGGTATCACGCCGTTTGTGACCGTGACGGGGACCGGGGCGTCTTTAGTGCGACGGGCATACGACCGCGACAGGTTAGCAGGGACTAGGACCTCCGACATCGCGGGCCTTTGCAATGTTGATGATGCCGATGAGGACGACGGATGCGACATTGCTGGAAGAAGAGTGGGAAGAGTGGACGACGACTGTGGGGACGTCTTTAGGGGGGCGTGGCCCTGTTGGGTGAGGTCGACCACATCGCTGGGTCGGCGTCGCTTCTGAACGCTTCCGTACAAGTCGCGAACAGAGTCATGGACGCGGTGTGGAAGCGTGTGAACGTCTTGGTAGGCGGCGATCGACGTCGCGTTCTGAACGAGTTTATGGTCGATGCGAGCAGCGACTTTGGTCAAGTGCTCCGGGGACGCCTGACATCGTTGTCGCAGGAGGAGAACAATCTGTTGCCGGACGCCCTGTCGAATCGCAAGCGGGACCTGCAGCGAGGACGACGGTAACGACATCGTTTGTCGCCGCGACGGGCTCGCGTTGGCGGGAGCGGAAGGCGCGTGCATGAGACCGCCGTGAGAATCCAGAAATGGGCGGTCCGTTGCGACCGCTGGTGCTACAGACACGCAGGCAATCGCGTTTCTTTCGTTGGTGCGCACCGTTTCTATACCCGGATGGGAGGGACGCCGCACGACGAGATTGCCCCACGAATGTATGGACGACCGCGCCGTGGAACTTTTCATTGAAACTTGGTATGGGGTTTCAACCCTTTGTGGACAATTACCTTGGATGCCGTATGCTGTGTCTACCGCCCCAAGCACCCATCTGCCAAGGCAGCGAGTTTTTTTTACTCCGCATGCTATGTCCCAGCATGATGGCACGGAACGAACCGCCTGGGACTTCGCCGCCGTTCGCGCGTCCGTCCGAGGCGTCGTTTGTGGTCGAGGCGCTTGGTGGCGACGATGGAGACACGTGGCGGACGAATGGATCGGGCGACGACAAGATAAAACGACTTGCTTGCGCACGAAAATCGGTCGATGCAACCAACTACACCAAATCAGTCATCGCCTCGGCCGCGCTCGGCGATTCGGCCAACTCGCACGAGCATGCCCAGGACATACGTGGCGGGCATGTGCACGGAGCGATTTATACATAAGGATCGGATCGTCTACTTCTTCGAGATATGTCCATGCATGCGTCGCCGCGAACACCACAGACAGATTGGGCATGTATGTAGCCGCCAGCGACGACCGCAGACAGATTGGGCGCCTGCACCGACCAGCACCTCTCGAATCCGATACAGTGGAAGGATGAATCGAAAACGTTCGATGAAATACTCCAGTTTAGAACATCGCATGACCTGTAATGATGCATACCCTGTACAAATGCATTTTTTGTTCGTTGGAGCAATACATGTCGCAGAGAGACGCACAATGTTGGCTTCCCGCAGTGTCCGCAACATCGAACACAACCACAGCGTGAAGTACAAGACGAGGTTGGTGCCGAGGGAAACGTGAAGGCGGGACGTGATAACAATCGTCTGGACTCCTGTTCGCTCGTGGACGTGGTCAGAAAGCGAATCGCCTTTGACTTACCGGTCTCGTTCCTCGACAACGTCACGAAGACCAGACACCCCCCCACTGGCGTGACCTGGTTGTTACCAACAGGACTTGGCGAAGTCACGCAAGCACCGTGAAACATAATACTATCCAGTGCAAGAAGAAGGAATGTTATTTGATATGATTCAATGTATGAAGGGACAAAGAATTTTAGGAAAAGGATACGATCAAATGTCGGAGGTAATGTCGTTTATTCTATTTTTAGGGTGGTCGACCGGGATGGAAACTTGGACGACGATGGCGGCGAGGACTTCTGAAGGTCCGCGGAGCCCTTGAACGCGGGAGTCGCGCACGACGTTGGAATAGTTGAACGGGGCGTAGAGCAAGGAGAGTTGCAGGTAGTCACGATTGGAGGAGGCGGTAAGAGGCCCTCTACCGGCGGAGTTGGCGGTGGGGCAACCAACAGGACGTCCAGGTAGTCCCGCAACACTGCCTCGTCGAGGCGACGTTCGCGTTCGAGATACCTTGTGATGTCGAGAATCGTCTCTTCGATGTCTTCAATGATGTCGCGGTCGTCGTCGTCGAGGTCCTGTTTGAATCTCCGCCGGATCATGGCCATGCCAGCTTCATTCCCACGCTGGAACGTCAAGTGACTGAATTCAACGTGTTTGCTTTGGCATCGATGAAAGCCATAAAAGTTGAGCATGCGCAGGAATGTGCGAAGCTTTCGATGGCCGAAGTACGCAGGAAGCACCTGCGTGGTGAATGGAGCTAGCTTGTAAATCACAAACGAGAGCCCGTCGTCGGCCCACGACACAATACTTGGAGGTGCTGCGTTCAGCAGCGCGGCAAGGCGCTGAATGAAGATGGACACGCCGTTCGACGGCACAGATTTACCGGGGGCGATGCTTGGGGCATTCATTCGTGTACAATGGAAGCCCGAGAACCTTGGGCCAACCGTCGTCGGTTAACCACATGACATCGAAGATATGGTGCGAAAGGCAGCCAATGTCGCGACGGTTGTAACTCACCAAGGTAGCAAACCAAGGTACATTCGATGTGTAGTTCAGGATAAAATACAATGACATCAAATTGGTTGGAGGACGCAGGTGAACTCGTTCGCGAGATTGTGCATGTACTCGTACGTCTCCAAGTACTCGACAATGTCGAGATGCCCTTTGTACGACGCTCGGACGCGCGCCAACTCGTCCCAGTACGATACGTTGCAGAGAAACACTACGATCTCCAAATGCCCTCGCTCCGCTGCCGCCACAGTCGCAAACGTCGACAAGTACATCCCTTTGTCGTGAATGAACTGCAAGATTTCCAAGTGGCCAGCGTACGCGAAGTACACGACGAAGTCGTGGTTGAGCAGGTACGGTCGATGTGAGTACACCCTTGCGATCCCTGCAACGCCGTATTCTCGAAACCACATGCACAACCGACGTCGGGGAACGCATGGAGCCGACAGGAAGCCGAGTTCTCGACTGTATTGCTCGTTGGGATTGACGCGGCTGATGAACGCCTCCATGTCATGGATCACGACGACAAGATCTAGTGGCAAGAAATCTTCCCGAAAATTGCACATGTAGCGACTGAATCCGTGGAAAGATCGCGGCGTCATGGCGATGGGGTTGTCGTCGAGCATAATGGTTGTCGCACAGGGAACGCAAATTCAACACTAAGATTTTTGCGCGCGCAAATCGCTATGATTTCATTTGAAGTTTGTATGGTGACCTTCGAATTGCCCACCATTATACAATCTGTAAGATAAAATGAAGTTGAACCAGTTCAACTTGCATCATTTTTCAAAATTCCTCCGAGGGCGCTGAGCTACCTCTAAAAGGCACGCGCGGGCGAGGTGAAGTCGGCAAGTGTCAAGCCACCATGCTTGTGCCCGCTTCCTCTTTGCCATCTTGATGAAGGGTGAAGCTCTGTGTGTATTAATAGCCCTGGGTTGAACTTCAGCACGAGTGTTCTCGGGCGTCGTTCCTTTTTCGCACAGCAGTATGACGATCGCAGAAGGCCTTGCCACGGTCGTGCAAGTGGTTGCGACGGCATCGTCGTTCTATGTTGCGTCAAGTCCATATGCGTCGATCAAGGAAATCCACGTCAACAAGTCGACAGGCAAACTATCGGCAATTCCGCTTCTCTGCATGCTGCTAAGTTCGTCGATGTGGTATGTCAGACGTTCAAGCAATGACGTCAATTACAATCCTTGATACTTGCATGTTTAGGCTCTTGTACAGCATCCTTTTGAGAAATTTCTTCCCCCTCATTTTCACCAACGTCGTGTATCTCTCATGTGTCATCGGGTACCTTGCCGTGTACTACAAATACTCAAACGCGAGGGCAACTCTGCATCGATATTTTTTCGTCGAAGGCGTCTGGATAATGTCTGTGTATTGCTACGCAGCAATATCCCCGTCTCCAACGACAACTCGTCTTGAAGTCGTTGGAATTATCGGTAGGATTGTCCTGTGGCGACGCTCTATTCTGACTTTGAGTCCGTTTGCAGCAATCACGTGCTCATCCATCATGGTTGTTTCTCCTTTGTCAGCGATCGCAGAAGTCCTCAAAACAAGGAGCGTGGCCCACCTGCCACGTAAATTGATTTTCGCGACATGGATCAGCAGTGGTGCATGGTGCCTCACTGGCATCATCCTCGACAACGCCTTTATCAAGTACCCGAATGCAATCAACTTCATCCTTGGGTCGCTCCAGTTGGCCCTCTTTCTGATCTTCCCAAGCGCCTCTGTTGCCGTTGCGCAGAGCTCAGGAAAAGGCGTCGATCTCGACCGCGTCGGTCTCTTGACTGCGGATCCTGACGAAATTTCGTCGGGGGTTGACAAATCTTCGCAAGTCGATACGTATATTCACGCGACCCACGACATCAAGTAGCCAGTTTACTCGGTCATGCCGTCGTCTACAAACAGGACGCAACCCTTCTCGATCTTCGCAAAACAGCATTGCAACCAAAGCCACGTTTGACTAAATCAATTACAATTCAACCTAACGCCTGCGACTTCTACCGCTCTAAACGCAGGGAAATCTGGTGGACGCAACAAACGACCTCACGAAACGATGCACTTCGACGTGCTTTCTTTGTGCAGTTGGCGCTTGTATTCCATGTCAGCTCGTTCGAGGTCGGCCAGTCGTTGCAACCCCTGTCGTCGAAACTGCTCTTCCTCCGCCACCAACAAACTGGCGTGGTACTCGTAATCCTGTTCCTCTTGCATTTGCTGGACACGGCGCCGCTCCTCCGCTTGCCGCGCTTCTTGAGCCATCTGCCATGCCACGTGCTGCCGTTCTCGTTCGCGGCGCTCGGCGTCTGCCTTGCAGGCCATGTCCACTTGCAGCGCTTGTGCATGTTCAAACAAGGCCCGATGGTGGGCCAATTCCTCGTCGTCCTCGTCATCTTCTTCGTTGGCGTCCGTTTCCAAGTTGACCTGTTGAACTGTGGGCAAGACGCCTCGGCATGCGTTGTGCGCCATGCAATGCGTCAAGAACGCAGCCCAGTCCGACGACGTTTCAAGGACAGCGGGGTTCCCCACCACAATCAAGAGCGCTTTCGCTCGGGTCACGGCCACGTTGAATCGCTTCGGGTGCGCAACAAACCCGAGCTGAAACGTGGAGTCGTCTTTGAAGAACCCGGCAGAGCTGCGCACAGTCGACACTAGGATAACGCGGCGCTCGCCACCCTGAAACTGCTCGACGCTGCCGACAACGATCCCCGACGGCGCGCCGTGTCGCTGGAGCGCCTCTTGGATTTTTTGGCGCTGCTTAGCGTACGGCGTGATCACGCCCATCTCGGCCGGCAACACACCAAACTCAACCAAGCTTTCGACGTACTCCAGCACAAGCTGCAGTTCGTACGGATTGTACCACGACGGCGAATCGTTTGTCTGGAGCTCGCCGCCGCTGATCCCGTGAAACAAGAGCGGGACGGACCGGTTCGGCAGCGACGGCCATTCGAGCAGCGAGTGGGTCGTGCATGTCGGCGCACATGCGACGAGGTCGCCGTCGTAAAACAACTCGTTCGGGACGGACAAAATGTCTCGGTGGGATCGGTAGTTGCGCACGAGCTTGGTCGACCACGGCGTGCGTGGTTGCCCTTGAGTGGCAGCTTGTTGATACAGTGGCAAGAGGCGCTCCATGAGCGACCTGCCGAGGCCCAACGTGATGCCGTAGGTGGATTTGATCACTGGGCCGAGCTGCATGGGGTCGCCGGCGAGCACGACGACGGTGCGGGAGCTTGCGAGCGGCCCCAACACGCTGCAGACGTCGGGTTCCGTTGCTTGTGCAGCTTCATCAAACACAATCAAGTCAAAGAACCCGCGCTTCACGCCCATGTTGAATAGTTTGGCGCCAGTTGCAATCGTCGACACGATGATGGATGTGGATTGCAAATCGTCCAGGGTCGGCTGCACAAACCCGTCGCCGTCATGACCACGAGCGGCAATCGTTGTGAAGGGCAGCACGGACGCGGGAGTGTCTTTCACGCGGCGACTGAAGGCCATCACACGACGTAATTCGTTTGACGTGATGTCTGACGTTCCTGCGAGGCGGTCAACAATGTTGTCGGCGGCCGCGTTGGACGGCGCACACGCCAAGATATGGACAGCCTTCGATGCATTTTTACGCGCTGCACGAAGGATCTGCTCGATCGATTCCACGATGGTGACGGTCTTCCCCGTTCCAGGGGGACCAAACAACAGGTACGGCACGAGCGGAGCGTTCGACGATGCCGTGGCCACCAAGTGCTCGATGTCGTCAATCGCACGGGCTTGTTCAGGGTTGATCGGTCGCGAATACTGCCTGTCGATGGCCGACACTCGGTCTCCCCCCGGCGGACCGAACCACGCGGCTTGGGACGTGCGCAGACCGATCAACGTCGGGAAGAGCAAGGTTTCATGAATCGGTGGCGACAGGGCCAGAAGTCCTTGATGCTGGAGGCGCACCGGCGTTCTTGACGAGACAAAGCGGACGTTGAACTTTTGGTGGTCGTCGAAATGCGTGCGATGGAACGCGGGCGGCATGGCGATGTAGATTCCGTCCAGGCGGACTTGGGTGATGATGCCTTCCATCGTGTTCGACTTGGGCTGGTTCACCAAGACTTTGTCGCCTGCCATGAGCGACGGCCGGCCCTCGGCGAGCCCAGGCACGGCCAACTCAAACAAGACGGGCGTCTTCAACACCAACGTTGCGCGCTCCATGTCAAATTCTTGCTGCTGGCGTAGGTGTTCGCGCTCTTCGCGGTAGAGCAAGTCTTGGAACCGTCTGGAATATGTGGCCATGGTTAGCGGCAAGTCCGTGTCGACGGCGGCCCACGTAGCTGGAAGCACATGCTTTCCCAAGGGTACAGCAAGGGGCGGGCCATATCGGATCGGCGCCGTTGCTCGGTGCGCAGGAGCATCAAACTCGAGTTTCTTGTTCGACGGCGCTGTTTTTCGTCGCCGCGCCGTGCCGTCCTGGATCGATTGAAGTGTCTCGGCATCCATCGCGGGGTCCACGCAATCCACGCCTTCCAGGACGCGACCAATTGCAAACACCGTCTGGGTCGGCGTTGAAAACTCAAACGCAAGCACGACGTTGAACCGTCCGGGCGCGGTCGATCGAAATTCGCATGGCACCGAGACCGATTCGTGCGGCTTGACCGGAGTCGGGCCGCTGAAGGCGATTGTAAACGGCGACGATTTCAGCGCGGCTTTCGACGCCATGACGCGAAAACATGTCCGCAAGAGCATGGTCTGAGTCGACTTGTTTGTCACGACAAACAATTGCGTCGTTGGGACATGGACCGTGAGCGCCGCCGAGAAGAACGCGCCGTCGTCTGTAATGGCCACACCATATTTGTCTCTGGCGAAGCGCGCGCCAAAGTCCTTGAGGAGTTGGGCTGCCGACGGCAGTTTGTCGGCGGCACTTCGGTCGAGAACAAACGTCCACGTTCCCTGCACATACACGGGCGGCGTAGACGACGGCCCGTGCGTCTGGACAAACGCTGTCGCTTTCGCATTTGCCGTCGGCTTCATCACGTCTTGGGCTCCAGGATATACGTCGTAGAACCCGCTCAACGATGCCGCCGGCATGGTCCCGCCGACGGCTTGAATGTACGCCGCGAGGTGCTTCATCACGACGGCTGGCGTCATCGTTTGCAGAGTCAGGTTGTCATCGACAATCGCGATCGGCGGGGTCACAGCGTTGCCGAATTTTTCAAAGAAGGTGCTCAAGGTCCCCTTGGCCTTGATCATGTCGCGGATGTCCGGGTATGCCGCGTAGAGCCCGTCCATGCTGCTCACGTGGATGTGTCCGCCCGCTTCGCGAAGGTACGTGGACGTGTTGGCGAGCGCCTGTCGAAGTTTGTCGGGCGAGACATCGGTCGTTCGAATCTTGGACCGGGCCAAACACGTGGCATACAAGCCATCCGACATGCGCGCTTTCATGGCGCTGTACACGACGGGGAGATGCATCACGTCTTGCGCTGCGTAGTCGAGCAAGTGCGGCGGCAGCGGCCGTTCGCTCCACAAGCCATCTCGATGCTGCACCTGGTCCTTCACCGTGTTCGTCATATTCGCGTACGTTGAGAGGACGTGGTTTAGCCCGACCATGGCAGAGTCGTTGCCGACGAGGACCTGGTGCGCCACTTGGGTGTCGAAGACGGACGAGAGTTCCAGTTGGAACTGCCCGCGCAATGCCACCGTGTCGTGGCGGCCGTCGTGGAGTACGACCAATGTCTTGGAGAGCACGCGTTTCACGGCGGGATCTCGCAGGATGCCAGGGCACGTGAATGTGTCCATGACAAACACCGTGTCGGGGATGCTCGTGCCGGCGACCTGGAGCAAACAGAGCCGTCCTTTGGGAGTCAAGTCCCCTTCAAGATCGAGAAACAAGACAGTCGAAGCGCTCAGCTGCTCAAACACTTGCTTTCCACGGGCCCGTGTGTTGATGAATTCGACGTGCATGGACGATGCTGTTGTTGGCCGAGCGCTCGGGACCGCCGCGATGGGCTCACAGCGCAGTTTGGGGAGCAATTGGTTGACGCCTTCCCCCTCCCACGCGATGGACCAAGACGACGACACCAATGGCGCATGGAGATCGACGAAGCGTTTGCACGACACAAGAGCCTTGTTTGCCCACATGAAGGCATACTCTGGGTGTTGTGTGCGAAATTGTCCCAACAAGTTTTGTCCAGGGAGACGTGGCGCCGCGTGGGCTGCGACAGCAAGAGCGAGCATCGCCGGTCTTGCGCCTTGAAATTCAATGACAGACCGGAGCGCAACGTACTCGAGCGGATATGGCACGCTCGACCCGTGGCGCTCCACGAGGAGCTGCACACCAACCGACGCCGCAACGCGCTTCAATTTGGCCCTTGAGGCCAAGAATGTTTCCGCGTCTTCGTGCGACACACGGCCATGCTTTGTCCGCACGAGACAACATAGCGCCTCGACGCATGCCAGTTCTCTGTCCATTG